CGTATTCATCTACATGTGGTACTCTTCAAGGACCATGAAGAAACCAGAAAATCCGACTCTGAATCTATAGAGGAGGTGTACGTCGACTGAATAACTAAAACTGTCTTTTCTAAATCCCTCAGGGTGCAGTTGAAGGACAGAAGGTGCAGCTGGGAAGCGAACAATCAGCTTCAAGACCAGGGTATCTCCTGAATCTGCCTTGCACCAAAGCCTTGAGCAGCTATACCAGATTTTGCATCGGAAAAGGTAACAATTTGTCTCTGAGCAGTTCAGCAAACGCCTTTTGTCAAACGATGATTCAGCCAAACCTCATCCGAAGAGATGCATGACGCTGAATCCACTCAGTGTTTCCACCAGGCTCCCTATCGTCACAGAACGAGACCGTATTCATCTACATATGGTACTCTTCAAGGACCATGAAGTAATCAGAAAATCCGACTCTGAATCTCCAAAGGAGGTGTGCGTCGAATGAATAACTAAAACTGTCTTTCGTGAACTGCTCAGGGTGCAATTGGAGGCTAGAAGGTGCAGCTGGAGAGCGACCTATCAGCTTGAAGAGCGGGGTATCTCGTGAATCCGCCTTGCACCAAAGCCTTGAGCAGCTATACCAGATTTTGCATCGGAAAAGGTAACAATTTGTCCCTGAGCAGTTCAGCAAACGCCTTTTGTCAAACGATGATTCAGCCAAACCTCATCCGAAAAGATGCATGACGCTGAATCCACTCTTCTTGAAGAATTTCAAATATTTCACTCGATTCTCAAACAAATAAAGAACGACCGTGACAACATTGACAACTTGAATTCTTATTCAATTACTTCGCCCCCGTTTATTTGAAACGTCTTTGGGAATTGATTGCTCACGATCTATTGAGGTGTTGGGTGAATGGATCTGGGTCTAAATACCTGTCATTTGAGTTCCTTACATTTCGTTCTATTCGGTGGCTTGCTGAATGGTGAACCGAAGCGGGACTTTTTTATGTGAGCGATCGAGACGATATGGCTTTCGTGTGAACCATTTTCCGACACTCAGCAGTGACTAATGGTATATCGAATGTGTTTCGAAAAGATTTTCGTGTTTTTGGCAAGACACGGAAATATTAAAACATACATTTCATGAATTCTGATGTATCCATAGAAAGGGGAACATTGAGTGAATTTTATTTTATCGAAAATAGTACGGAGAAGACTATTATTTGCCTGTAGATATTCAAGTATTGGCTAGTTGGCTAGTTGGCATCATCAGAGATGATTAGTACTCATCTCTGATGATGCTATCTTGATTATAGAAGCAGGCTTCGAGAGGCAGCACTTCAGTTCCAGTGTAGAAAAAATATTTTTCACGATAACAATTTCATTTAGTTTTTTTCGATTCCAATATTGCAGACGTTATTAAAAAGGAATTTATCATTACCACAGTAACCTCTATAATAAGGGCATCAAATGGAAGAGTTTGCTGAATAAATGATGAAATAATATGACTCTGAATTCAATATTGCCGACCACACAAGATGGCGGACTAGTTAAATTTTATGCAGTACTATGATACCAATATCAAATGAAAGGGTTTGCAGAAAATACAAAAAAATGGCTGCAATAACAAGTACATTCATAATGAAAGCTAAAACTGGAACTCCTGGCATAGAATAAATCCAAAAGAAGCACTTTTCTCAATCACCAGAACTGCAAAACTCTTCTAGGGGCGCATTACATCCACCAAGTTGACGTCTTCAGTTAATGAAGAAAACTGTATTCGCGTTTCGGAAAAATTATTATAAAGAAGAAAATACTATATCAGTAATAGCTGATGAAGTTTAAATGTGATTTCTTTACGAAATATCACATTAGGTGAGATCGACGGTGATTTTGATAATCAAAGTGCTGAAATAGTTAGGAGAAGACAATAAACTCGTAAAATGTTAAAATACAAGCTGAAGGAAATATTCTGGATTTTGTCCAGTTTGTCTCTGAAAGTTACTTCTTTGCATGATTCACACATGTTCATTAAAACTTAATCAATTATTTTTTTTCCTTTCGAGTTTCCACATTTTTTTGTATGAAGATGGAGAGGTAAAAACCGAAACCTTTCTTTCCCAGAAATCAATAAAATCAGTTGAATTTTTTTTCCGCTGCTAACTGGAGATATCTATGCATTCCCTCTGGAATTTTAAATAGTTTTAAGTAGTATCAAACTATTGCCCGGCAAGATCAAAAGATACTAGATACGCACAAAATTTATCACTACCCCGATTCAAGAAATGCCATACACAGAGAAAATAATATTATTTTGCACCGAAATTGTATAATATACTGCCAAAAAAAACAAAGGAAATTTCAAACTTCAAAATTTATAAAGCAAGTATAAAAAAAATGTATCACTACAAATGATACATTCATTATGAGTCTACTGAAAAACGCATCACTATAAGAAATGGTAGGTTTAATTCTCTGAACTAATTTAATAAGATATCTCATAACTGTGAGTTACTAAGTAACTATGGACCTTGGTTCTAACATCCTACTATATTTGTCTGATCGCATTACGTATCCATGTTAATAAAATAAGCTAATATTCAGAACACAACAATTTATTTCACCAACTTTCTCTGCTTTTCATTTGTCTATCGTTTTTTCCTTCTTTTTAATTAGCAGTTGATTTTTAGTTTTTCTTTCCGTGTTCACATCTTTAATGAAATAATTCATATGAAAGTATTCTGTGAAAAGGAAAATGGAAAGCACAACACAAGCCATAAGCGCTTGGTTTGCGAACCATTTTTCTTCGAACGGCTGAAATGATCCGACTATTAAAAATGTATATTCTTTTTTTTTAACCGAAATAAACTGAAACCGAATCTGAAACTATTGAAGGAGTGTCATACGATGTGGTAATGGGATGGCTAAACATGGCGTGGCATACATTTCTTCAGTCCTAAAAACATTTTTGAATGTATTAAAACACAATCGATTCGACCTAGGAGTGTGTCAGTGTCCCCGGAAACTGTTTTGTAATATCGATATATGTGACTGATATTCTGCACCTACATCAATATGCCACGACTCAAAGTCTCCTTCTTCAGCAACGGCCTTATTAGGAGTTCGACAGGTACACGAACTGCAGTTTTCAATGCATAAATCTTCATACAGGGTGTCACTTTGAAAACTTCCCACCCTCAATATCTTCCTTCCAGTAAACAATATGAAGAATTGGAAAAACTGTTTCATTTTATCATCAAGGGGGACACTTTCAAATAACCCTTGTGGTTCAATCCCCTTGAAGGGGTAGATATTACCCTTAGAATTTCAAATGGGAAGGGGGGTCGAGTGGCAAGTGAATTTGATTGGCGTTCAATTCTGCGATCAATGGTAACCTAACTTATTATTTCTTGATGAGCATTTTCCGAAATGAAGCATTCTAAACTAACAGAAAAAAGCTCCGATTTCCCCTTGCCAGATTCCTAAGTACCCTGGAGGATATCCCGGAGTTGTTCCAGGATATTCTTGAAGAGTTACCGCTGGCGATCAGGAAAAAGACAGCCCACTGCCAGAGGAGAAGACCAGGAATAAATAGTTGTACCTATTCACCAAGACCCGGACAACTTCACTAAGGATAACCCAACCCATACACAAAAACAGCAATGCCACATATTTTTCGGGAAGTACATACACAATACCCACAAAATTTAATGTTTGGGTTGGTATCAATGGAAATGTCATTATTGGTCTATTGTTTCTGGAAGAAAACTTCACTGGCAATTTGCACCTTGATTTATTCGAAGAGATTATCGATCCTCTTATAACTCACGAGCTAGAAACTTAAGTGGATGCAGAGTTAATGAACTTTTGCAGGAGGACTGTACTCCACCTTATTATTTTCTTTCCGTCCGACAGTGGGTAAACGAGAGATTTCCTAATAGATGGATTGGCAGAAGGGGAGCAGTTGAATGGCCTCCGAGATGTCAGGATTCAACACCCTCAGATTTCTTTCTTTGAGGGCATCTTGAATCCGTTGTTTATGAAACACATCCTTCGGATATTGAAGCACACAAAAGACGAATTACAGCAGCATGCCAGTCAATTCCTAACAGTTCCTAGTGACGTTTTCCGTGATGTTAGAAGAGGAGAGTTCCAAAACAGATTTTATTACTGTTCACAGCGAAATGGATGACATTTAGAACAGTTTATGAGATAAGCGTAAGTAGATTTCATGTTTCAAATGTCTTCCTCGCAAATTGAATTTTATTTTGTGAAAGGACAATGATCATTTTCATTAAAAGAGGTCAATACAATAATGCTTCTCAGAACAGCAAGTTTAGAACTCTATTTTTCGGAAAACTCTCATCAAAAAATAATAAGTCAGGTTACCATCGGAAGCAGAATCGAACGCCAATGAAAATGATGTGCCACTTGAACCCCCTTCTCATTGAAATTCTAAGGAAACATCTACCCCTCCTAGAGAGTTGAACCATAAGGGTTGGAAATAGTTCCTGAATATGCCCCCCTTGACAATGAAGTCGACACTTTTTTTTAGATTTTTCATATTGTTTACTGAAAGGAAGATATTGAGGGTGGGAAGTTTTCAAATTGATACCCTGTATATGTAGAGGACAATCAACTAACTTAAATCAAAATTCAACATCCAAAGGGATTAAATCTACAACACTCAAAATGTAAATGTGAATTATTAAGGTTCTGACGACATTCAGTTGACTCAAAATCATAACAAAGGACCCAATATTTTTTATTTTCAATTGCAATAATCCAACTGAATCAGTGGAAAGGCTTTATCTCACAAATTCAAGAACGTGATCGAGATTTGAAATAAATAATAGCAGTGAGAAGCTGGCTTACCTTAATTAAATTTGTCTGGAAGTAATGAAAATCCTGTAACAAAAAGTGTACTTTAGAAAATTAATTCGACATGAATTGTTCCAAATAAATGATAGTACGCTCGCTTTTCAGTAACTTCAGCAAGAAACTCCGTCAAAGTTGATATTTTCAAAGGGAATTCGAATTTTCCGTAGCCTGAATCAAAATACGTAACGAATCAATACCTTCTTGAATTTCCATAATCGTAAGAACCAACAATGGTATGAAAATTTCAGAGCACTTAGATTTCGGATGGAGTATTGAATATATGAAAAGTAATTTTGCTGTAGAGGGGATTAAAGAGTTGAACTTTATCGTGAATTTGATCTGAAAAAATTGTTGTACTTCGGTAAAACTAAAAAGGTGAATGAATAATTTATTGTTGTCAACAATTTTCAACCAACCTCTGAAATAATATAATCTAATCAATATGCAACTTGGTACCCTCCGTGTTAGGAATCACACGTACAATTTCAGACCTTGTTAATCGTTAGCTCGAACAAGTTTCGACTCTTGAGCGCGGTCGTTCCTAGGGGAGTGACAGCTGATTAACGGAAAAACATATTTTAAAAGGGGCAGATATACCGCCTATACCAAGGTCGAAAATCTTGATTTTGTTTAAGAAAAGAACGCTCCACACGTTGTCATAGCGTCAATATCACGTCACGTTATTTTTTTTCGAAGACAAAACACAAGCACTATAGGAGCACTTGGAGCTCCTCAAAGAGCTCTAAGAGCGATGCCTGCACGAAAGTAGCGATTCTCATTGGATTTGAATCGATAGAAATTAAATCCATAAATATCTATAGAAGACAGACTTTTTTTTGTACCTTGGGAGCTGCCTGACTTGTCCATTTAGTCCAAGTCTCCAGAAAAGACTGCAACTTCTTGGGCTTATTGCGTTTATTCTCCCATCTTCTCATGACACCCATTCCATCAGTCTCGTTCCCTGTACCATGTTCCATGTTGGATGTTCGTCATATTCTCCTGGGCGTTATTTGGTACATCCATATATTACCTGCCTCATGTGATTCAGTGCCTCACATTCGCGTAAGATGTGTAGAGCTGTTTCTGCCCCTTCGTTGCATAATCTGCAGCTGAGGTTTCCTTTGTACAGCCCCATTTTATTCAGGTGTCCTCTAAGCGGACAATGACCGGTTAGTAACCCTGTGATTATTCTGAGCCGATGCCTACTATATGGAAGTAGTTCTTCGGTTCTTTTCTTGGATGGTTCCCTAATGAAGGTTCTACTGTGTTTGTTGCCAGGTACTTTTGTCCAGTACTCTGTATGCTTCTTATTGGTCCATGTCCTAATCTGACAGATAAATCTCCAAACTTTTTTTGATGTTTCAGACTATCAAGACTGCAAGTGATGTTCGCATCTCCAATCAAGCGAATGTGTCTTTTCTGGGTAGAATCCAATAGCCTCAGGGTATGCTTAGGGGTTCCATACATGAGAACAATACTCCAAAGAAAGTCTGATCTGAGCTTTATGAAGCATCAACATTTGGTGAGTTGTGTACAGTTTTCTGGTTCGGAACAGTGTTCCAAGCTTTTAAGAAGCAGCTTCTGCAGTTCCAGCGACATGATTGTGCCAAAACATATTGGTGTCCATTTTGACCCCCCAACAAACCTATCGAAGCAGAAAACGGAATTGTCTGTTCTGACATTATTATATCTGATTCAGAGACATTTATCTTTGCAGAGATATGAATTGAATTGAACCTGGTAACTGTCACCTCAATTCGAATTCACTTCTAGATCCTAATTATGATATACAACCTCCTGCTGCCGGTGAAGATGTGCATCCGCAGCCATACGATATTACGATGTCACGTGAGATGTACCTACATGAAATTTTTATCAGTGATTGGGTTAGTGATAGTTCGGATTCAAAAAAACGTTTTTTCACAATTTTGGCAACAAACTTCCAGACTCAATATCCTCGAAATGACTATACAATGCGACTTATTCAAAATAGAAGCATCTTTGTGAAACATAAATTTTGCAACCAGTATAGCCGATGCCTACTATATTGAAGTAGTTCTTCGGTTCTTTTCTTGGACGGTTCCCTAATGAAGGTTCTACTGTGTTTGTTGCCAGGTACTTTTGTCCAGTACTCTGTATGCTTCTTATTGGTCCATGTCCTAATCTGGTTTCGTACCAATGATTTTGGTACCCCCAGAGCTGGTTCAGGACCTATATAGAAGACAGATAAATCTCCAAACTTTTTTGATGTTTCAGACTGTCAAGACTGCAAGTGATGTTCGCGTCTCCAATCAGGCGAATATTTTTTTTCTGGGTAGAATCCAATAGCCTCAGGGTATGCTTAGGGGCTCCATACATGAGAACAATACTCCAAAGAAAGTCTGATCTGAGCTTTATGAAGCATCAACAGTTGGTGAGTTGTGTACAGTTTTCCAAGCTTTTGAGAAGCAGCTTCTGCAGTTCCAGCGACATGATTGTGCCAAAACATATTGGTGTCCATTTTGATCCCCAACAAACCTATCGAAGCAGAAAACGGAATTGTCTGTTCTGAAATTATTATATCCGATTCAGAGACATTTATCTTTTCAGAGATATGAATTGAATTGGTAACTGGTAACTGTCACCTCAATTCGAATTCACTTCTAGATCCTACTTATGATATACAACCTCCTGCTGCCGGATGTGCATCCGCAGCCATATATTACGATGTCACGTGAGATGTACCTACATGAAATTTTTATCAGTGATTGGGTTAGTGATAGTTCGGATTCAGAAAAACGTTTTTTCACCATTTTGGCAACAAACTTCCAGACTCAATATCCTCGAAATGACTATATAATGCGACTTATTCAAAATAGAAGCATCTTTGTGAAACATAAATTTTGCAACCAGTAAGATTTTCTTTTCAGAAAAAACACCAAATTTCATGGATCAAATTATTAGCGACCTTACCAAACCTCTGGATTCCTGCAGTTTTGAATCATCTCAGAATTGCATTGAAATGCTATCGTCAACAAAAAAGTTATGAAAAAATAAAATTTTAAAAATGTCATTCGATTTTCCCACCAATTCAATTTTAGACATTTCATCATCACGGAAAATGTATGTGTCAGGAAAATTTGAAAAATATATTGAACTATCTTTGCATCAACAATTTTCACACATAACTTTTTTATTAATAAACAGATTTCGACGAAATTTCAGAATGTTGTCATCTGTTAAATTCCTTCTGTTAACCAGCTATCACCTCTCTACGAATGGCAACTCTCAGAAGTTGAAACTTGGACGAGGTCTTACCTTTTCACGTGCGATTCTTAGCACGTGATGAATCAAGAGAATGACCATTTTTTGATCGAGTGAATTCCAAGGCCATTATTATATTTCCAGTTACTAACTGGGATTGTGCTCCTAAACACGTTCGAATGTTCTGAACTGTTCTAGAAGATTCTAAAAGGCAAAACATCTTCGTGGATGGGAAAAAGAGGTTCACACAGCTTCCACAATGATCTGTGGTGTTCCAGTATGTTCCAAATTATAGCCAAAATATGTTATGGGATATTCTGGAAAGTTGTGGAACGCTTCAAAATACTCTCAAATGTTCTAGGCATTTCTAAAAAGCGAAACTTTCAGCTCTTACTTCTTGGAAAGCCCGTCCTTCAAGTAAAAACAGAAACCTTTTTTGTGGATGGGAAATGAAGGGTTACCACCTCAAATATCCTCCTTGATCATTCACAATAATCTAGAATGTTGCCAATGTTCCAAACTCCAACCACACTACATTCTGGTATATTCTGGATGATTGTGGAATGCTTTCGAATACTCTCAGAAATCCTGAACAATTCTAAAAGGCGAAATATTCAGCTCCTACATTTTGGAAAACCTACCTTTCAGGTAAAGACAGAAACCTTCTTTGTTGATGGTTAATGAAGGGTTACCACCTCATATATCTTTCTTGATTATTCATAATGATCTGGGATGTTCCCAATGTTCCAAACTCCAGCCAGACTACGTTTTGGGTTATTCTGGAATATTTTAGGATGCTTTCGGATACTCTTGAATGTTCTGGACAATTCTAAAAGGTGAAACATTCACCTCTAACATATTGAAAAGCCTGACCTTCAAGTAAAGACAGAAACCTTCTTTGTGGATGGTTATTGAAGGGTTACCACCTCATATAACCTTCCTGATTATTCATAATAATCTGGGATGTTTCCAATGTTCCAATTTCCAGCCAGACTACATTCTGGGTTATTCTGCAAATTGTGGAATGCTTTCAAATACTCTCGAATGGTCCGCACGGTACTTTCTATAGAGTGTACGTAACATGAAACTGTACGTGTAACAGTAACAAATTTGTCATTTTTCGATTAGAGCCTATAAGATACTTTATAATCACATCATATAATCACTTTATAATCACTTTGGTAGTGTATACTGTTATGTCCTGTCTCATGATCTCTGAAAACCAGTTTCAACGTGATTTTTCACCGGCAACAATCCTAAAAACAACAACGTTATGTTTTCGGAATATCACAAACAAATAATATGCAAACGATAAATAAATACAGAATTGTGATTTGTTTTCAAACCGTCGTTATTCGGTTCATTCGCAAAATACAGACTCCAAGTTGTTTTTGTATTTCAACTAACCGTTGTTTCCACATCCTGGAAAACACGCTTGTTTTGATTGGCAACTGTTTGGGATTTAGAAGGCTTCAAAATGTTATTTCATGTAGTGATACGTGTAATGAACACCGGTTCAATTCGATAAAGCATTTAATTAGCCAGCACTGGCGCCATATGGCCAATGAAAATCCATTACAGAACGAGACACATTGAATTACATAATAACAGTATAGGTGACAGCTTGGAGGGTTTTTATTCGGTTGGTTTTGACAAATAAGTTGGAAATGTGATGAAGAGACACAATCATTTCTCAGGCCCCTCTTCTACAGTGCCTCCGTAATTAGAATGCTCAATTACAAGATGTTGGTAAACTAATTAGAAAATCCCTGATCACATTTCAG